TTGTGTTAGCCGGGCCCCCACCGGCGGCCCCAAGCCTGCACCCTAAACGCTAGGGCAAAGGGGCAAACATGCCGTTACCCCTCTCCACCGAGAGAGGTGACCTCCCTTCACCGAAGAGAGGTGGAAAGCTATGCTTGCCAGTGTTCCCTGTATAGCCTTAGGAGTAGTGGTATGTGACGCGCTAGCTCCCAGACCTGCGCCATCTTCCGTCTCCTCCCCCCCCCCCCTTTTTTGTCGAATTTTGGGTGACAACCCGACAAGGCCTCTTTCTGTATTTCATAAATGTAATATGTGGGACCCTCGGATCAGTTTTTCAAATTTTGTCTTTTGCAAATTTGGGAATTACATGGGAATTACGCGCGCCTTAGCGAGCGCACTAGGAATTTGGATCGACGGTTAGGAATTTCAGAATGAGCGGAATCTGACGTGTCCTTTCTTGCGCTTGAATGTTCTCAACTTCGTCTTGGGAAGCTCTGGGAATTTTCGTAGGAATCTGAATAGGTATAGGATTTTCTCCCCCGCTCGCTCTACCGCGCGGATATGGTACTTTTCAATTTGAATTAGCTGTAACTGTTTTGGTGTCCTTTTTGCCTCCGCATCGGCGTCATTCATGCGAGCCTCCCCTCCCCGCTTCCCACACTGCCTTCGACACTCTCCTCTTCGCGCTCACGCTCCTCTCTCTGTAACCGTTTTCCATCTCTCTTTCAACCTTGCGTGCCTTTTCTTTCCTTCTTGATCGTCAGAATCTTGGTTCCGTTTCACGCTATTCTTGACGCTCTTCTTCTTCCCACTCTGATCCCCACGCCGAAATACCCTATCGACCCCCTTTCACTCCCCCTAGCCAAGGAGACGCGCCGTGTAAGAAGTAAATTCTTGATACACGACGATTCTGATTGGCTGCAGCTGGGATTCAAAGGATCGACATGGCTTTCGTCGGGCAATCCCTGAATCTTTCCATACTCCCCCCTGTCTCAATCCTAACCCTTCCTAGCATCTATCTTCCTTTCCACAACTATAAATTCCACAAACGCTCCCAAAAATCTCTCTCTCGACTCATCAGCCCGCTTCCGGGAAGTCGTGGCTAGGTGGTATGAAGGAAGGTGCGAGTTGAAAAGTCCCGACGAGCTGGCTATAGTTTTAGCACGCGGCATGCTGGATCGCCTGACGGACTGTGGGATCCGAGCAGGGCCGTGCAAAGATTAAGTCGGCGGGGTGACAATCGCGATGGTGGGTTGGGACGTGACGATCGGGATCGTCAGTGCAAGTGAGATATTTGAGGTTCGAGTCGTAAGTGAGTGAGTGTATGGCCTGGGGCTACTATGGTGGAGTTTTATGGCAGAAGTGTTTCCCTCCTTTTTGTTCCAAAATTGGCATCTTTGAGTGTGAATTCCGATCGCTCGGCTTTTAAGTTGGAACTCCTCTGGACAAGATTGCCCGATACTTTGTGATTGCTTTCTACCCGTTCGTCCCTCTTGGTCTGCGTCCGTACACTCTCTCTCTGTCTCCTTTCTCCGGTCTCGTTATATCGTAATGAATGAATTATGATAACCTTGCCTCTCTCACTTCGGTACGTGCATGCGGTGAGTCGTGTGAGCAAGTTTGTTATAGCATGATTGATAGGACGATTGGTTGATCGACTGAATGATCGGGTTGCTTGGAGTGCCAGACGAATGATGTATGATTGAGATCTGTTTTGAGCTCACCTTTGCTGCCATGTGGACTGGCGGCCCCAATCCGACCGGGCGCCAACTTCTCGTGGCCCCGCCACGCCCCTTTCCGTACAACGAGAAAAGTATACGTGTATGCGAGTGGGACGTACGAGAAGTTGCCGCCAAGATCGGAGGGCGTTATTACTTTCCTCCCGAAACTCGCTGTTCTGGATTCGTCGGTGCGGGTTTTGTTATCATCGATACGCAGTTTTCGCCCTATTCGTTGTTATTACCCTTTAACAAACTGATCGTCGTCCCGTGGACGACAGTGAAGACTCATTGGCCTAACACCCTGTGTAGCGATTGTCGTCGCTTCGAGCATTACCAGGCCAAGGGATTCCACTATCGTGCACGTGGCGAGGACGAGCACAAAAAAAAGGCTACCCGGTTGAGGCCCTCCACGTAGGACTCAGAGTTGTGTAACGAGCGCCGACAATACCTCATTCGAAAACGGGATACCACGTGTGTACCCGCCCCCTTTCACGTGAAACGAAGAGCGACGGCTCGCTGGGAAGTCCAACGATACTTTTTAAATTGAACTTCCCATAGTTGCAAGACCCCCGTGCGCCTTTTCCTTTAAAGCCCACGCGACGACGGACCTTCTTCTTTCTACCGTCGGATCAACACGGGGGGATTTCAGTTATGTCTGTGTCCCCGCACTCAATTTTCCAAAAATCCTTGGCACACCCCATCTTTGCTGCTTTTCCCCGTGCCCCCTTCCGCAAGCCCAAAACACTCCGACCGGAAAGCAGCGCAGGGCGTGAGGTTGAGCATCAGTGAAAAAAAAGATATGTTCTATGACATGGCAGAATGCCAGTTAAAAGATATGTGAGGTGAGAGAAAAACATATGGCCTGTCTCTTATACACATCTAGATGTGTATAAGAGACAGGCACTGCCATGTGCAGTATGCGCAGCTCACAAAAAACGCTCAACTGCACCAGACCAGTCACGTGGTAGATCCACAGATGTACATCTGTGCAGGATGCTTCATGAAGAGAGGAACAAGATCAATATAGAGAAGTCAGCCTTTGGGAGTTTCCCTGTGCTGTACTTGGGACATGTCCTCTCTTGCAAGGGTTTGGCCCCCTGAAGCTACTAAGGTTGCTGGTGTCCAGGACTGGCCTCACTCTCAGACAGTCCGAGATGTCAGGTCATTCATGGGACTAGCTTCTTCCCCCGAATACAACATACGGTCATTATAGCTGAATTTGAGGCATCTTTCTGTCTAGATACAGACATACTGACCGTACGTTGTATTCGGGAGAAGAAGGTAGCTTCCTACTACGAAAAGTCCGTAAGGAACACTGAAAAAAAAAAAAAAAAAGCTACTCCCCTGACTAACCTGCTGGCCAAGTATGTTGCTTCCAGATGGACTCCTACATGCCAGATGGTTTCTGTTAAGTTGAAGAAAAACCAGATACAAGTCAGCATAATAGTGTTGGGGCAGTACTTCAGCAAGATGGAAGGGCAGCAAATTGAGACTCCGTGGGCTACTGGCTCCAACTGTGAGTATCTTGACAAGTTCTCATTCCAACCACATACTTAGAAACAGTGGTTCACACAGAGGGAACTTCTCAAGACGGCCAAGTCCAGTGTATATTGACTTATGTGGCAAAGCAGAAAGCTTTAGCACCCCGCCACTCAAGTCGTGGTTACTCTCAGCTCAGGGGTCCTCGCTCCTTGGGTTGGAAGTGTAGGGAAAAAAAAAAAAAAAAAAAAAAAAGGAATGCAATGTTCTTGCAGTTGCTCAGTGGCCTGTAACACTAACTGGGACCTTTTAACATTTTTTTCTAAATTTTAAATCATTTTCTAAATTCTAAATCATAACCAGGTAACTGAAACTAAGCCTGAACCGACAGAGGGCACGCTCACACTGCGGTACCAAATCCGCATATTCGTGAAAAATATGGACAATACCTTTCTCGGCCTTTTGGCTAAGATCAAGTGTAGTATCTGTTCTGATCAATTTAATATCTTATCCGTGGTCCATCGGACAACATTAAAAAAAAAAAAAAAAAAAAAAAAAAATGGAGGCCTGATTTGGAGATATAGTGGCGGCGCCAGTCACACAGTGTCCCCAAATCACCCATTTCCGGTCGCGGCAGGTCGGCCAGTGCCGCGACCAGTGTGGAACTTCGGAGGTCACCAGCCACATGACGCCCACCCTTTTTCCCTCACCTGCTTTTCTGTTGTTTTTTGTTTTTGTTTTTTTTTAAACCTTTCTTTAGGCTCTCACTTTTCGCGAACGGGCACCAATATCTTCCCTTTCGACTTTCAAGTCATTTATGAAAATTAATTCAGAAAAGGATAAGGAATTTGCAGTAACAAAAAAAAAAAAAAAAAAAAAGGAATTTGCAGTACCCTCCCCAGGTTACCACAAATAAATTCC